TTATATGAAACAAAGCTTTCATTTGAATTTCTTCAAACTCTGGGATATAAACCGCTACACCATTTTCACCCACTTGTGGCACCGGGGAGTAATTGTTTTGATTGAGAAATGCTGTTATCATTTAAAATTACTCATTAGTTTAATAACTAAAATTACTGTATATGCTCAAGATCTATAAAAATTGTTATTTCTAAAATTAGAAAACTTGTTAAAAGTTAATTATATTACTGTAATATACTGCACAGTAGTTGTAATATTATATAATAATTATTACTGTAATAATTGTGAGAATTATTCATTTACAGCATAATATTCAATGTGACTGATTATTTTTACATTAATTCTGTATACTGTAAACCTAATGCAATTGAATGAACTCATTTGAACATTTAGATAACACAACTCTGCTTTTATCAATTAAATTGTCAATATTTATATAACATTTTTAAAATAAAAATCATAATAGTGATACACATCAGTACCAAATGTGACACTACCTTGCTATTTCCACTAATGACTTATTAATAATTTATTCAATTTTATTCAAACCAAACTTGTTATATCTTGACGGTTAAATGCAAAAATTTCTATTCTCAGCAATGTAGATATCATTATCAATAGTGAAGTTCATGATATAGTTTTATACAGTATATTATCTAAAAATAAACTTTTAATAACTATTTATGGTTTTGCTATATTTATATTAAATCGCGTGCTCTCTGACAGTGAATTGTATGAATTATATGAATTGTATGAACCGTATGGTCTAGAATTCACTTTATTCTATATACAGAATCTACTATTATTGTACAGTACAGGTAAACCACACGTATGACAATATGTTGCAATAGTTATCCATATACTATATAATAATTATTGTCACATAAGTTTCATTAAAAGTTAGCAGTGTGCTATTATATTCTCTCATTATTTTTTGTGTTTAACTTACTTTCATTTAAATGAAAAGACTATTAAAACTTTAAGAAAATCGTATACAATAACGTTTGTTAACTAATTTACAATCACATAAATCTCTCTCTCTCTCTCGCTCTCTCTCTCACTCACTCACTCACTCTCTCTCTCTCTCTCTCTCTCGCTCTCTCTCTCTCTCTCTCTCTCTGACAATAAAGTGAATGTGAATTGAGATCAAGAGATATAAAGATAAGCGTAAGAAAAGGAAGAATATCTGACCGTCAGTAAGATTAGGAGATCCGTCCCAAGAGTATCCTTTGCCGCGATAGTGACCAACGATCACATGAACGCCCTTTTTGTTGATGTAGTGGTTGTTGTGGTCCGGAAGGACACGCATGACATCGTCGCCCACTTCACGCCAAACCACATATTGTTTCGTAAATCAAATTATAGTTCAATTGTTTTCATTGTAATTGTTTTCAAAAGTGATAACATCTTGTCGTAGATGTGAGTGACAAGTGCTCAACACTTACCACTTTGGTTGAGTTTATGTGGAGGAAGTGGTAATATAAAGAATGTCACCACAAGTGACACCAACACCAGAGGAATCACTGTCAACGGCAATACGTGTCTCAGTCTTCGTCGGCCACAACACCTCCGCGTCGGGAAAGACATCTCTTGTGGTCATCAACTCATTGTCACTCAAACTATTGACATGACTTTGGATTCACTTTGGATGGCATCACAGCATTCAATGCATTCAACCACTCGTTCACTCACTCTTTGCCACCAAATGAGGTATTTTCACGAGTTTCCATAACCAACACATCATTGATGTATAGCATGAATGAGAGCATCACTGCGTGAATGCATTGTGTTTGCAGTGTTTGTGTGGAAGTGATGTTCAGATAGTGTTGGAGTCATAGGCAGTGCAGTGAGAGGTAGAGTCAGACAGTGATTGCAGTGACTGTCAGAGTGAGTGAGTCTTACAGTGGCTCTCATAGTGACACCAATAGTGACACCAATAGTCATATCAATTGCAATACTCCAAGACATCAAGACATCGCGACACAAGACATTTGCCACTCAGACTACCACTGACTCGATGAGCGCGGGTATGCACTGGTGGTGAGCCAGTGGTGATGTTTGGTTGACTTGTGGTGAGTGATGGCAGTACTGATGCGATCGGTGGTGCGATGGCATACCCTGAGGGTGATGTTGTTGACATCGATGGTATGGCTCATTGTAGGCATATGTCTCTTAGTCTATTACATGGAGTGTTTGGCTCACAATGCCTTCAATTGCAACACTAACTCACAATTGAGTGACAATAACGCCAAAAGTAACCTAAGATTCAGTGATGAATCCAATGACTATCTCAATGATAACAGTGTCCACGACTTTGTCGCTAACCAAAGAGCAGACAATAGTTTTTTACCTCATTATAAACCCATTCAACTGAAGCCATGGACTCCAAGAGGTAGGGTATAGTGTGATGGCTATGATGTGATTCTCATGAATGGTATGATCTATGGATTCAGTGCTGAAGTCTAATCCGTCGCATTGGTTGGGAGAGAACGGAAAGGCTGTGATTATCGGCAAAGACGAAGAAGAGCTGAAGAATGAAAAGTTTAATCTCAATAAATTCAATCTCTTGGCCTCCGATCGCATTGCTCTCAACCGATCTCTTCCTGACGTCCGAATGGATGGGTTTGTCATATGATTTGTCTTACAGTTGAGACCATATAGTAATTGTGTGACCCTTTGAATGCCAGATGCCGTCGCAAACATCACCCAAAACTGCTTCCCTCCACGTCTATTGTAATCGTATTTCATAACGAAGCCTGGAGTACCCTATTGCGCACCGGTATGTCTCAGCTGTGCCTCTATTATAGCATTGATTGTAACGATTGATGTGTTGAATCAGTTCATAGTATTATCCGCACGTCTCCGGAGGCACTCATTGAAGAGATTCTGTTAGTGGACGACGCGAGTGAAAGAGGTATTGCTTTTGCTTTCATTTTATTGTATCAGTTATGCTCTCATTGCTTGCAAACCCATATTCAATGCATTTACAGTATGTCATTGATTTTATCTGCATTTATCTCAGTTTATACTGAATTACTGTTTATTTAATCTAATGTACACTTGAAGTAGAAAAGTGTAAATGTATTGAATTTAAGCCTTTTTGCCTCAAATCTCATTTGCCATAGTATTGTCTATTAGCAGGTCAGGTAGATGTGGTCTAGCAAATGAATTGTTTATTAATGTAAGTGTAAAAGATAAACACTTACTAAAAGTAAATTTAAATGTGTTCAATAATGGTTAACACATTTGCAATTATAAATTATTGCATAAATCTATTGGATCAAAGTGTGCAAGTTTAATATTCTTGCTTTTTAAAAATACATGTATTTAAGAATATTACCGAAATGCAGATTCTGTATAACACGAGTGATATTACAGTACATGTACTTTAGTGACCATCATTTTGTTGATATCAAAATATTTAATGTCACGAGTGATGAAATCTTAATCTGGTTACTGTTAAACGTTGTGGTTTATCATATCAGTTGTTGAATTTAGAGATTTGAAAAAGCAACAAATTGCCTGTTTGTAAGCCCATACACCTGTAAAATACTGTGCATTTAGTGACTAAATTTGAGTGCCTCACAGGCAGTGCTTTAAGGCATTGTACTGTAATAGCAGGTG